CATATGCTTTAAGGAGTTTGTCAAGCATTTATACTTTTTTAAATGTAACATTATAAAATGGAAAAAAAAAACTATTATAGAAAATTCTAAGGATTCCATTAAAGAACTATTAGAACTAATAAATTCAGCAAGGTTACAAGATACCAGATACAATATCAATATATAAAAATCAATTGTATTCCTACACTTGCAACAAACAAACAGAAAAAGAAATGAAGAAAAACTCATTTACATTTGCATCAAAAAGCTAAAATTTTTAGGACTAAATTTAATAAAAATATTGAAAAATTTACACTCTGAAAGCTAAAAACATCATTGAAATAAATTAAAGAAGATCTAATAAATATAGAAAAACAACTCATGTTTATGAATCTAAAGAATTAATATTGGTGAGATGGCAATACATCTCAAATGGACCTAGAAATTCAATGCAATCCCTATTAGAATCGCAGCTGGCTTCTTTATGGAAATTGACAAGCTGATCCTAAAATTAATATGGGAACTAAAGGGACCAGGAATGGCTAAAACAATTTTTAAAAGAAAAGAACATAATTGGTGGTCTCACATTTTTCAATTTCAAAATGTACTACAAAGCAATAGTAATTAAGACAATGTGGTGCTGACATAGAGATCAATAGAATGGAATGGAGAGTTCAGAAATAAAGCCATATATTTATGATCAGTTAATTTTCAAGGGGGTGGCCATTAAATGGGAAATAGTCTTTTCAATAGATGGTGCTGGGATAAGTGGACATATACATACAAAAGAATGAATTTGGACTCTTAACTCACACCATGTATAAAAATCTGAGAATCTACAGGCAGGAAATCACATAATTTCCAGATTTGATATCCCATTCAACGACATTCAGGCCTTTACCTAAAGTTTTGCTTTTCACATCTACACGAGCCCATACAATAACAAAACAAAAAGGTTATATTTGATTCTAGGTCAGTCACGTGGATGAGATGGAAGCATTAGACAAGTCCAGAGCTATCCTGGATTTTGACACGATGGAGAAGTAGAAAAATCAACCAATAATTTGTGAATAGGTACAAAGGAACCAATCCCAGAGAGGACAGCTCCAGAAAGGGAAATCATTGTGAGAGGCTGGAAAGGAGGAAAGAGTGGCTCTGGGAAGAAATTCTTTCTGAGACATCACAGAAAAGAGTGAGAGGAGATATTTCAAGAGAAAAATTAGTATCATGAAGATACAATAAAAGTGAAAAAAATTTGGTGAACAAAGCTTGGCACTTTTTCGAGATATTAAAGACATGGAAGGGTGGTGGAGGCATTCTCAAAAAAGACAGTTTGGGGAAATAACATAATTACCATCAAGTATTTCTTGAGTAATTATTATGTATCTATTACGGGAATAGGTCCTTCATTGTGGTTGAAAGTTATAGAGGACATTTCTTGCCAGGAGTTTACAGAAGTTTTGCAGAAATAAAACTAGTAGGTAATATTTTGTATCTGATGACTATGAAGCAATTAGGGGATAATTAAAGACCAAAAATACGTGGAATTCGGTCTAAGAAAAGTGTGAGTTCAGAGCCAGGAATTCTCCATGTGAGCTGGGAGGGCCAAAGATGGGCTTTTGGAACCAGTGTTTACAGGCACAGGGACAAGCAGAATGTTGGGAAGTCCAGGGGCATACTATGTTCTCTGAGACCAAAGAAGAGGTGCTGGGAGGAGCAAGCCCAGAGTCTGTAAAGGGTATTGTATTCATTTGCATAACTGTGTTATAATCACCACCTTAGAGTAAGAACCATATTCACTTTCCTCTTTTATAAAGAAATACATGTCAGGATGAATATGGTATTATAAAACAAGAAATAAGAAAAAAACAAAGGGTTGACATCCTGTCAACTAAATATCTTTGGTGATAAGTAACTCTACATTAAAACAAAATTAATTTTCCTTTTGTATTAGATTTTATTTTATACTTCACTGGATTTTTCATCAGACCATCTAGAATAATATAGCTTCTATTTAATAATTTGAAATAATTGTACTTTGTTCATGACTGTGTCTGTGTATTCAGACACTCATTCTGAATACATCAATATCTCTCATCCTTACTGCCCTCACCACCTCTCCCACTCACACATGGCTACAATATAATATAGGTGGGAATTATACTACCCATTAATATAGCAATTAATATATCTTAGGAAGAATGTTGGCTTACTTCAAATAATCTTTTATCAATGTGGCACTGAAATACCAGATATAATTTTATATTGTTAATTTTCCACAAGAATGTTTATCAGTTTGCAATTTAGCCAGTAGTTTTTACTTCTGAGGAAAGACACACTCTTCAGTAAAGGAAGGAGAGAAGCCTCACAAGAATGGTCTTGTGATCTTCTTCTTACATCATCAGTCACAAAAGTCACTCCTTAACCTCCCCACCCTACCAGTCCAATTTCAAGTTAAGAGAGAAAAGCCCAGTGACCCAAAATTTGCGAATTATTTCGAGGAACAGAAAACAAGGATGAAAACATTTCAATCACAACATGTAATTGTAAATATACTGACTATCTCCCAATTTTGTTGAGTTCCTTCTATGGAACAAATAAAAACTTTGTCACTCTGCTGGTACAACCTTCAGTCAGTGCTTGAATTAGTAATTATACTGATTCTTTTATCTTTTCTTCCAACTTTTGTGGACTAAACCAAGAAGGTTCAGATTCTGTTGCTTTGATATAAATACCCAAACAAAATGTATGCTATATTGCACATATAAAATTTCAGCCATCACTATGTGCAGCATCTGTCCCAAGAAACTGAATAAAATACATCTGGGTTACATTCAGGCATAGACTACTTTTATGAATAACAGTTGCCTTCAAAGTGCTGTTTACTCCTGTAGACTAGTAAATCCCTCTGTTTGTAGTGTATATGCACACTCTCAGAGCTACTCTTCCCACAGGGCCCAGGTCCCCTCACGCACGAGTTGCAATATCTGAGCAGGCAGTGGGGAAGCCAGCTCTCAGTGGTTCAGGGTGGCTAAGGATCCCCAGTGGTCCTGTCAAAAGTACCGCAAACAATATATTTGTAGAGGGCATGGAATTTTTAAGACTCCTGGAGAACAGAAAGTCCTCTGGTCTCTAAAAAAATGTAAGGAGTCTGTAGCCTTAGAGAGTGGGGTTTCGGTTATCCTGTTCCATCAGAATAAGACTGAAGAATAGACACACAGAGGGACCCTTAGGCGATCCATCCCGTAGCACTGTGAGTACATACGCCTGTTTCTCCATCAAGAGAGGCTGGCTTGTGATCATTTTTTAACATATATTTTTATTTATTTCAGAGAGGGGAGAAAGAAAGAGAAATAGAAACATCAATGAGAGAGAATCATGAATTGGCTGCCTCCTGCACGCCCCCCACTGGGGATTGAGCCCTCAACGTGGGCATGTACCCGGACCTGGAATGGAACTGTGACCTCCGTGTTCATAGGTCAAAGCTCCGTCACTGAGCCAGGCCAGCCAGGCTTGTGATGATTATTCCTGTTTGGATCAGGCCATGGATTTGTACCTGAAAGCCACCATTTCAATGATGTTTGGTAAAGCTGTTTTAGGTAATTAAAACTTATGTATACTTTTTCCAAACTATCTTTGATTCAGTTCTAGTTTTACCACCATTCCAGAAATTTTTATAATTATCACTCTGATAGATACTATTCTAAATTAAAACAACAGTGATTTAAAAATTCCACGTTACCGAATTTGGAAAGAAATTCCCATCTTTCTGAAATAGCAATAGCCACATTCATTTCCTAGAACTAGATTCTCCTACCAACTTGAAGTAAAGGAAGAAAAAACAACAACAACTATGTCATAGTTTGGACTTTACATGTGTTTTTCCCTCCTTGTCCCTATATAAAAGGGAACTTTTAGCATCTGAAGTTCTGGTTTAGAAAATACATTTATCAGCCTAAAATTAGAGTTACAATAAGAGTGTTAAGATCCTGGGGAAACACACTTCTTGTAGGCATCCCCTCTGATTCAAAATTAGTCAGGGCATCAGGAAAATGTAAGTTGCTTCTTTTCAAGCTCTCAGTCTCTGAGTTTGTTAATTCAATTCATAAAATCATAGAATTATAATTTTGGAAGAGACCATGTCCATTGTCTAGTCCATTCTCTTAATTTTACAGATAAGAAGAGATCATTCTTTTTATGGGTACCCAGCCAAAATTAAATGTATCACTCAATTCAATACTTCCATTTACATATTTGGGCTTCTAAGATATCTGTTGATATAAATGAAACTCCATTTCTAAAGTCACAGAAACTTGTATTCCGTATGTTTAATAATAAAACTTCATTGCTTTCCTAAGATAATGTTGACCACTATTGAACTTGCCTTTGTCTTTAGGGAACTCTAACTAATGCTAAGTGAGATATGATGGTCTAAGCATCTTTAAAGCAATGCTTATAACTTACCTGGCTTCACCTCCCTAACAACTAGCAGAGTACCTATCACAAAGTAGGTAGCTTTTTAAATATGTTGATTGGCCAAATGAATGGATGATTGCTCTGAATATCTGCGTAGCAAAATAAACAGAAGTGTAACATGACCACCCTCCTGGGCTATCTAGGGTTATTTAGTTGAGCTTTAGGTTGTTTATCAGCTCTTTGGATTCACAATGGTTTGTCATCACAGGATTTTACCTGAAGTTCTCACAAAAATAGGTACCAACATCCTTACAGCTTTCTATTCTTAATACTCTAAAAGTGTATTGGAACTGGTCCAAAAGCAGCATGACTGAAAGAAAACCTGCTATTAACTGAAGACATTTCTAAGCTGCATAAGCATTTACATACTCCTCCTTCTCTTTCCACTTTAAGCTTATTTCACCACAGAATCATATGGTCATTTAAACTAAATGATGCTGTTTGGAATTCAAACAAGCGTAAAGACTTATTTTACTCTAACATGCTCTCTGTCTTTCCTCAGTTTTCTTAGTTCAGATGACACCAGATAAATGTAAACATCTTACCATCCAGATGGTCCACGTAGCAATACACATCATAAGTTTCATGAGGAGAACGGAATCCATAGGTCCTGACACCTTCCTTCCCCATCATATCTCCATAACAGCCTTCTCGAGGAGTCCGGATAGGATACCTGGGGAAAGAAAGGAATAATAATTAGTACTTTATTCTCACTCCCAAATTGATGAATTAAAAACCGTGGCTCCCAGACATCTTACCTAACGGTCTGATCAGACAGCCAACCTGCATCACACTGCTCAAATCCATCTTCATAGGCAGCATTGAGCTCCTCTGGACTTGCTATGACTGCCCCAACATCCAAACAAGCCTGCTGTGCATTCTCAAAATTCAGAGTGTACCTGCTGGTTGCCGCCCTGTAGTGAAACACAACCCCTGCAAAGATAGCAGCAAATCATCACTGGCATGTTCAAATCTCCCACAACAATGTGCAAAGTTTCTCACTGGAGCAGTATATCAGATTAATTGCTAACATGGTAATAACACCATGATAATTCTTTATTTTTACTTTATGTGGAATGATGCAAAATTGTGGTGATCTGAGGAGCCCCAGAATTGCCATTCACCTAGGTGTTCCACTTTGCTCCATTAGAAAGTTTCCTAGCCACAAATTCTCTGTTCACACATAAACAATCTAAGATTTAAGCCACTAAATCCCAACAGGTGCATAGTTGTCTTAATGCATGTAGTATTTAGGCTATCACGGGAACACTGGACAACTAAAGGGAGTAGTATTGCAATAGATACAAAGAATTAAGGGGTCACAAGACAAGCTTCTACTTCATGACTTTTCTCAGGGCCAACTCAAGAAAAACACACACACACACACACACACACAACAAACAAACAAACAAACAAAAACCCATACACGGAACATTCAATAACATCACTTCATAAACACTCTAGACATAAAACATAAGATATTTACTTCCATGACACTATGTATAAGTGAGAAGTCTTGTTTTAACACCTAATAAGCTCCTTGATCATAAACAAGTCTCTACTCATATGAGTAGAGACTTTCCTCCCCTTAAAGCATAATTAATGTTGCTTATGTTATTTGACTAATATGACAGTCAACTTAGGTAAAGGATTTTAAAATGTTGGATAGGCTACTAAGTACTATTCAAATGTGTATCATGTTCCCTAACTGACCAGTATAATTTAGGGTCTCCTCTATTACAAATAAAATGTAGGACTTTTATCCCAAGGAAGTCCTAAAATAAAGTTCTCCCAATTCAATGGGTAGAAGTCAGAAATCCTGGTACTTGCCTCCAATTGCATTTTGTTGTAGTTTAGAAGCTGCATAAACTAGTAGCTCTTGCTGAGGACAGAGGGCTGAGGAGAGAACAGCTGGGGGTAGAGCTGGGGGTCCTCTCCTCCCACTTCAGCAAAAGCATCTCCATTTTTAAAAAATATGTTTTCATTGATTTTTAGAGAGGAATGGAGAAGGAGAGAGAAAGAAACATCAATGATGAGAGAGAATCAGTGATCAGCTGCCTCCTGCATGCCCCACACTGGGGGGGGGGGGGGGGGGGGGGGTCAAGCCTGCAACCTGAGCATATGCCCTGACCAGGAATCGAACTTGACCTCCTCATTCATAGGTTGATGCTTAACCACTGAGCCATGCTAGCCAGGTGAACATCTCCATTTTTAACTGGAGTAAATATGATGACTTATTTCTATAAGTCTGCAAAGTGACTCAAGCTAATGTGCCTGAGAAGTCACTGGAAAATAGAAATTGGGGCAGCTGGGTCTCGGGTCATCGAGAATGAATTTGGTTTCTGAACTATCTTCCTCTCTCCTTTTATTCCTAGTAGTTTACTGGGGTTGGCAAGAGTCTATCATTCCCAGTCTGACTTCTATTTATAAGAATCTCCCATATGCCCATCCTTAGATTCTCTCTCTGAGGCATGTGCCAATAAAATAACTATGGGTCAACAGACGAGCCATGTCATAGATAAGCACATCTAATCAAGATCAACATGAAAAGACCTGCATAGATGCACTGACATTTAACATTTGTTTTTGCATTTCTAATAGTGTAAAATAAAAAAAGTTATCAAATGCCTTTCAGAAAATTTGTACCTTTGTAGAACTACTCTGAAATCGCCAAGAAGTATATATGGTGGTATGGGGTAAGTATGAGACATACCCTGTTTTCCCGAAAGTAAGACAGTGTCTTATATTAATTTTTTCTCCCAAAGTTGCGCTAGGTCTTATTTTCAGGGGATGTCTTATCTTTCCATGAGCTAGGTCTTATTTTTGGAGGATGTCTTATTTTCGGTGAAACACGGTAGTTGATAATAATCCCTAAGACTTAAGCAAGAATTTGAACAGTTTTAGATTAGTCTTATGTTGACTGAAGCTTCAAATAGTCTTCTTGCTAATTAAAAATCTTCCATGTGCACTGACGATTGTCAGTAAGGGGGTACAACAGGGCCTGCATGACCAAGGCAGGGAATGTCAGCCTGTACAAGTATCTGTAATTGTTGGAATAATTTGAAGATCTCATGGGGCTAAGGAGATTAAGCAAAGGATTTTCATTGTTTCAGAGGGCAAAGGGCAAATCAATTGCTAATTCTTTTCTTTTCTTTTCTTTTCTTTAATTATTTACAGAGAGGAAGGGAGAGAGATAGAGAGTCAGAAACATCGATGAGAGAGAGTCATCGATCAGCTGCCTTCTGCACACCCCCCACTGGGGATGTGCCCACAACCCAGGCACACGCCCCTGACCAGAATCGAACCCGGGACCCCTCAGTCCTCAGGCCTACACTCCATCCACTGAGCCAAACCGGTCTCGCCATTGCTAATTCTTTAATGATGAAAATTGTAAGAAGTTGTTAAATTCCTTTGTGGAATATATATATATATATATATATATATATATATATATATATAGTTTATATTTATGTAGTATATATTTATATATATATTATTGTATAAGTTTATATATAGCATGCATCTTACACTATTATCCATCTATCTAGAGAAACAGTAATAGAACAAAATAATTCTATGCTATCTAAAATAAATGATAAAAAGCTTAAAAGATGGAAGAGCCCATTGTATTTAGTCTATGCTGGGTTAACATAAAAATAGATTTATGGGACAGAGCTATAGAATCTGACTGTAAAAGGATGTCCAGAAAATTAACTTGTTGCATCTGAAATTTAAAGTATTTCCTTTTGGCTATACAAGAAAGGGTTTTTAATAAAGCCCTTTGTATATGTTTCTAAAAGGTAAATATAGGGACATGGAGGGTTGGAAGAAAAATATGTTCCATCATGTCTGGGTATGAGAATTTTGCTTAGTAACTTGCCAAAATATTCTTCTTCTAAGAGCTATGGCATTATGAGTTTGCCCAATTAAAACAATTTTTCTTTGCCTTGTCTCCTAACTTAAATTCAAATGACACATAAACCACTACTGAAAGAAGGCTAAAACCCAAATGTTTCATTGCAGGATTTAATGGATAACTAATGTATTAACCTTAAAAAAAAATTCACCGAGTTCTCGTTTTGATCCAATTCAAATATTTATTGAACCCTGGCTTTTTAAGGCACTGTGATATGTACCACGGTACTTAATAAGTGCCTTCTATCTTCAATGTAAATTAAGATAGAATTTATATTTCTTACATGTGAACTCAGAGATTTTAAATCATGTTAGGATTGTGAGGAATAAAAGAAGGAAAGGGGGTTTTATCATGTGTATATATACATGTATATGTGTATATGCGTATGTGTATAGGTATATGTGCATACATACACACACAAGTAAAAATTAAAACAAAATAGATTAGCCTTTAGTCTTACAAAGCTATCATTGATAGGTCTCAAAAACAAAGTAATGATCTTGAACTATATACTATGTCTTCATATTCATTATTTCCAGAGTACAGTGAATCATTGCACATCATTTACAGATTACATAGAATCATTGAAGTTGCTGTGGGAAATGTCACCTTACAGGCTTCTCTACCTCTGATAAATAACAGTTTGTTTTTGGTGAAAAACATGGACTTTTTGGGTGACTGATGGTTTTTCCACTTGCCCAAACCCCAAACAATAGTTACTACATTTGAGTTACTGTTTCATAACACTTCTGAACCAGGTATCATGTTTTACCACCTTCTTATAGATTCCAAAAGCCTTACCATCCACGGTCAATGGCACCGCCTCCTGTGTGTCTTCAATCCCGTACATGACATCGCAGCGGTAGAGGCCCGCATCACTGGCAAGCAGTTTGGCCATGGTGAGTGAGGCATCACCCTCGTCCTCGGGCTGTGGAGGCACCGACACTCTCCCCCTGTAGCCCTGGCCAATCTTGATATTCCCATCTTGAACCACAAGAACAGTAGTCTCCTTTAAGTCCTTTCCACTCTTGTCCAATTCAATCTTAGACCATTTGATTCGGAGGAATTCGCCGGTGTTATAATTAGGTGGTAAGGTAGGCATGGTTGAGAAATGACAAGGTAGGCTGACTTTTCCAGAGAGGGAGCCCTTCACAGGTGGGCTTTTTTCCATTTTGACTACAAGAAGGAGAAAATACCAAATTAACATTCCTAAAAAAGCCCAAACTGAGTCTATTTAATATATGAGCGGATAAGAAACTCTTATCCATATCCTATATAATAAAAGCCTAATATGCTATGTGTCCATTTGTCTGGTCATCCTCTCCACCAACCAAAGCGTGATATGCTAATAATATGCTAAGGCCGTTCAACCGCTCACTGACCACCAGGAGCCAGACAATTAGTCGACCAGTCGCTATGTCATACACTTTCCACCAGGGAGCAGATGCTCCGACTTGTAGGTTAGCTTGCTGCTGGGGTCTGGATGATCAGAACTGAGCAAGATGGGCTGGATATGCCCTGGAGCCCTCCCACAATCTCTCCCCAGCTGGAAAGCCTCCTGCATCCCTCCCAGGCTCCAATGGGGCCCTTGACCTGACCTGCACCCTCTTGCAAACTGGGACTCCTCGGGAGATGCCTGTGAGTCAGTTTTGGCTGATCCCACTGGCATAAAAGGCTAATATGCAAATCAACTGAATGGCAGAACAACAGGTTGCAGTGATGAGCACTGACCACCAGTGGGCAGACGCTCAATGCAGGAGCTGCCTCTTGGTGGTCAGTGTGCTTCCACAGGGGGAGTGCCACTCAGCCAGAAGCTCTGAGCCAAGCTCACAGCTGGCAAGTGCAGTGGCAGTGGCAGAAGCCTCTCCTGCCTCTGCAGTAGCGCTAAGGATGTCTGACTGCCAACTTAGGCCCACTCTCTGCAAGGAGCTGGCCTAAGCCATCAGTTGGACAAGCCCTGAGGATGCAGGTTGAGCTGAGGAATCCCCCCCCCTGCCCCCCGCAAGTGCATGAATTTTGTGCACTAGACCTCTGGGATGAAATAATGAGAATGATTTTCTGCACAGAGAATAGTATATAATTTCAATAATGTTCATAACAAAAACAGGGATAAATAATGCTCATTTTATCCACCAAAAATATGACATTAATTTTAAATTATTTGCAATTCAGTGCTTAACATAAACAAATAAGTGATACTATAAGGCAATTATAGAAGAGCAAGCCATCAAGGCCAAAATAAGACTAGAATGAGCCATGCAGGTTTAAAGGACTAAAACAATGCCAGAAAGAGCAGTTAAAAGGTAAATTTATGTCACAGGTCAGAGGATGAAAAATGTTTGTTAAGATAACTGCCACATTACCTTAAAGGAAATGAAAATAAAACTCAAAGAGGAAGCGAAAATTAAAAAAGTACTTCTGTAGACTGGAGCAGGGGGAAGTCTAACACTTGGAGGGACCCTTTTTGGTTCAGGGTTTGAACCAAAGGCTTTCATCATAATGACAAATCCAGCTGCAATCACTTTGCAGTGAAACATTACCTCTAGATTATATCCTGGGGGAAAGTTGGCAGCTGTTCACATAACCGTCCTAAAGTATTAATCAGCACAATGTCTTTCTGTTTAAGCCCTTAAACTCTTAATGAGAAAGAAGGCATTGGCTATAATTTAACACTATAACTTGCAACAGAAATTTTCTTTCACTCCCTCCCCACCCAGCCCCTTCTTCCAGTGTCTACTAATTGGCTAGACAACATTTTGGTAATAACAATAGAAATTATCATTAATATACAAGCAACTTACACTTAATGAAAATATGATAAACAATAGTAGTCTCCAGGTGGAATGAAATAATGATTTTTAATTAACCAAATGATGTATATCTAAGAGTATGTTAATAGTCAAAGGTAGCCGAAACCGGTTTGGCTCAATGGATAGAGCGTCGGCTTGGGGACTGACAGGTCCCGGGTTCGATTCCAGTCAAGGGCATGTACCTTGGTTGCAGGCATATCCCCAGTGGGGGGTATGCAAGAGGCAGCTGATTGATGACTCTCTCTCATCGATGTTTCTAACTCTCTATCTCTCTCCCTTTCTCTCTGTACAAAATCAATAAAATATATATTTAAATAAAATAGTCAAAGGTGTTGTTATCTTACATGTGAATATGGACATGCATCAGAAATGATATAACTTTCAATATAGCCCTGTGGATTCAGTTGGGGATAATTCATTTTTAAAATTGCAGGAGATATTATGATCTTTAAGGAAAAAAAATACTCCCTATTGCTAGAGATTGAAATTTAACTTCAGAAGGACTGGCCTATAAAATCCTTCATGTGACACAATTAAATACAAAATAACTAATACAGTTTTATATTTACTGTATTGATGATAGAAACCAGTAACCATTCCAAATTTATAATAATCATTGCTGTCATAAATTTCTTTATCACTTTGTCAAATTATATTAAGCTTGTTCAAAACAGGATTGAAGGCACTCAAGATTAAATAAACATTAAATGAAGTGTGCTATTAGATGAATTAACTTAATCATTAAAATGTTACAAACACTATTAATATTTTAGAATCTAATAGCAATGGAATAATTCTATTTTTAATGGCCTCCTTGACTTACAAAATAAATTCTCTTACTTAAAGCTCATCCAGAGTGAAAATAGTTCAATCCTTCACTAAGGATGCTCCATTAAGAGGAAGTGACACTGGAGATCGCAGCTGGCTGGTGACACACCTGGGCCAGAACACAGGTCTCCTTACACCTAATCAAGGAATCTTCCAACTTTGGCATCTAGTGGGTTCTTCGCCTGACCCTGAATTAGTTTTATTTCCTTTACAAAGTCTGTACCTAGCCTATTTCTAATCCATCCTGGTTTTTTTGTTTGTTTGTTTGTTTTTTAAATATATTTTATTGATTTCTTACAGAGAGGAAAAGAGAAAGATAGAGAGTTAGAAACATCGATGAGAGAGAAATATCAATCAGCTGCCTCCTGCACACCCTCCACTGGGGATGTGCCTGCAACCAAGGTACATGCCCTTGACCGGAATTGAACCTGGGACCTTTCAGTCTGCATGCTGACGCTTTATCCACTGAGCCAAACCGGTTTTGGCCCATCCTGTTTTTTAAATTGCTTTCATAACCAAAAACTGTTAATAATTCCATGATCTTTAAAATAAATCTATAAAGTCCACAAGACTCCCAAAGAGAAACTACTACCTGGTACATAGACCTCTAAGTCAGAACCCATTAGGGAGAAAATGACTACATTATTTTTATTACTATAATATTTATTTATTTATTGCCAAGAATAGGGGTCCTGAGAAGGGAAGTGATGAGAATTCTATAACCTAAGAATCTCCTAATTGATATTTATCATATGTTCTAGAAAATCTTATCTTCCTTTCTGAAGAATTATTTATATGATTGACTTCACCAGAAATAAAGTATTGTTTTTTATAATGGAGAATAAACAACTTTATCATCAACCTCAAGGATGGTATAAATTATAAGATTCTTTATCACCTCCTTAAAAATGATTTTAGGATAAGTGACTTACAGTTTCTTAATATTTATTACTAAATGATAGTTCTTTCCACAGTTTTAGATGTGTAGTGGCAGATATGAGATTCAACCCAATCTACCCAATCAGGAGGTTTCAAGAAACAGAGCATTCCTTAATAACTCTGCTGTAATGAAAAGACATATTGGAACAAAACTATGTCAAAAGGCAAACTTCCCAAGGGCTATGTATAGACCTGCATGTTTATAGGTACACGAAAATTAAAAGCTCTGGTTAGATATAAATATATATCCCATATAGAATCCAGGATTAACAAAAAGCTGTGTGGTCAGCTTTTTTGTATATGAAATGCTGGGTCTTAATGTACTGGGTCACAATAACTAAGTTCACTAAATCTAAATATTTTAAGAAAGAAATTAAGTAGTTCAGAAGATAATGTTTATAGACTATTCCTGTTTAAAAAATAAAATTGCTACCTGCAAGAACTAGTCTGAAATTCTGACAATCCAAGTAATAAAAATGAATGCTAAAAAAAGTTCACTGTTCCCACAGATGGTTAGTGATCTAAACAGTGAATACAGAAGAGAGAAATAAATAAATAATGAATAATCAATTACCTTTCATTCTCTGTTAGTAAATTTGCAGAAGAAGGCTGATGTGAATTCCATCTGCATCATTATATCAAACACACATATAAACACAGAGAGCTTGGCCAAAAACATGTCCGATTGAGAGTATGGGAAGTTATTTCTTTCTCGGGTGATAAACATTATTCTCTTGTTCATTTACTTACTCATGACTATGCATGACTCCATTTATTAATATTAGAATATTCATATAACTAGATCAGTGCTAGATAATCAATATAATGGGTGTTGTTAAAGCAAAGGGCTCTTTGGATATTAAAATAAAGTCAATAACCGGTACGCAAGATGTTCCTTAATGTTAGTTATTGTCTTTTTGATGGCCTAAGGATAAAAAGAAAAAACTCAAGGTGTAAGTACTTGTGTTGACTCACAACTATGCACTCTGTGTGCCTAAATATGAACTTGGTAATATGTTTTATGCAGATCTTATGTTTTCAACTTTTGCCTCTCATATAAAAAATTAAGTTCTTGCCTTAGCCAGCTTGGCTCAGTGGATAGAGTGTCAGCCTGCGGACTGAAGGGTCTTGGGTTCGATTCTGGTTAAGGGCATATCTGAGTTGGGGGCTCAGTTCCCAGTGGGGGCATGCAAGAGGCGGCCAATCAATGATTCTTTCTCATCATTGATGTTTCTATCTCTCTCTTCCTCTCCCTTCCTCTCTGAAATCAATAAAAATGTATATTTTTTAAAAATTAAATTCTTCTGAAATTAGCCCCAACTAATTGCATCTCTTAATTCTGATAACAGATTTACAAAACAAACAAACAAACAAAAACAACACTTATTTTTGGAGTAAAATATATAACACAGTGGTAGATATATATGAATGGATGGGGGTGGATGGGTGAATAAATAGGTGGATGGAGTGATACTTAAACTTTGACTCTTGATAAGTTGAAGTAGAACTGTAGAGAACAAGAGAATGGACTATCAAACAGAAAAATTACATGTGAAAAAACATGTAATATGAAAGTCTGATGGAATTATAAATTAGTTCAGAGAGTCTGAAGTGTAGAATGAGTTGAGAAAAAAGTGGAAGTTAACTCTGGAGAGGTACAATAGGCAGGAGTAGATCACTGAAGTTCAAGGCAGTATCATTCTACATGGGCCATAGTCCACAAATTTGGGATTATAAAACTTTCATTTAGGGGGTAAGTAATCTAAAGCTAAGAAAAACAATGCATGTGAACTTAAACAATTACAGAGGGAAGGAGGAGGAAGAGAGGGGAAAGGGGGGAGGGGGGAGAGGGAGGAAAGGAAGGAGGGAGGGAAAAAAGAAAAAGAAAAAAAGAGAGAGAGAGAAGAAAGGAGGTAAGGGCAAATACTTGGCTTTCAGTCTTCTCTTTATTTTCCTGGTCTTTCTCAAAATCTAGTCTTCTGAGAGTTTGCTATTTTTTTTTTTTTTTTAAGTAGGAAAGTCTTTGAGTAATATTGAAGAAGATGGAAAAGTTGCTTAATGGCATAAGTTCTGCATCCACAGATTCAACCAACTGAAAATTGAAATTTTTTAAATCTTATATTGTTGCTGATGTGTACTATGTGGTTAAATTTAGATGGTTGTCTCTGTACTGAACATGTACAGACTTTTTTTCTTGTCATTATTCCCTAAACAATACAGTTTAACTATTTACATAGCATTTACATTATGTTATATTAGCAATTATTAAAAATCTATACATGATTTAAAGTATATGGGAGGATGTATATAGGTTATATGCAAATACTATGCCATCCTATATAATAAAAGGGTAATATGCAAATTGACCTTAGCGGAGGACCAACCAGAACAACCGGTCACTATGAAACACACTGACCACCAGGAGGCAGGTGCTCAAAGCAGGAGCTGCCCCCTAGTGGTCAGTACACTTCCACAGGGGGACCGCCGCTCATCCAGAAGCCGGCTCATAGCTGTCCAGCTTAGAGGCAGCGGCGGGATCCTCTCCTACTCCACAGCAGCACTGAGGATGTAGGACTAAAGGCTTAGGCCCGATAAGCCTTTAATCGGACATCCCCTGAGGGCCCCGGGGCTGCCTGATCCCCTGGGGTGTAGACCTAAGCTGTCAGAGTCAGACATGTCTGAGGGGTCCCAGACTGAAAGAGGGTGCAGGCTGGGCTGAAGGACTCCCCCTGAGTGCATGAATTTTCATTTACTAGGCCTCTAGTTATATATAAGGGAATTGAACATTCTCAGATTTTGGTATCTGTGGAGGGTCCTGGAACCAATCTCCTGTGGATACCAAAGGATGGCTGTAGGAGTCTTTTCTGCACAGTCCGCCAAGTCATCTGGGACATTACTGAAAGCCCACCTGTTTCTTTTCATTGTTTTGTTTTGGTTGATTCATGGATTGAAAACCAGTTTTCAGCTAATAATTGTAACTAAACATTTTCAGCACTGAATAGATTTGTTTTTAAAATTCATCCTTTAGTGATTTCACATTGCCATTTCATGCCCCAATACTCAACTTTTTATTTTGCTTAGCAATAAGGAAATTGTTACCGAACACTCACCTTTACGTAGTGCATGGGTTGCTATTAAGGTAGAGCACATCCATAAGATGCTCTTTATATTAATCAACATCTTGTCCTGAAAATGAAGACAAGTACAAAGTAAATCATAAACAGTCAGGCTTAGCATGGGCCATAAATCACATGCTATTTGTACACTATATGTAATAAGAGTACAAGGAGGCACTCCCCTTGGATTGTAAAAACAGAAGAGAAATTATAATAGGAGAAGCTGTCCCAACACTTTAATGATTAGTTTCACTCTCTCCCAGTGCAGTAGTTACCAAAATAATCCCAGAACCTGATTTGGGGGACATAAGAATATGAATGTGTGGGACAACCACAACTGGATAGGCTGTAGGAAGAACAGAAAGGACCACAGCCTTCATTATTAGTGGCTAGGAACTGGCACGAGAGAGAGAGGGTGGACCACAAAGTCTGTTTAGAAACAGGAAATTGGTCATAGACGAAACAAAAGAAGGTAGGGAAGCAATAGGGAGACATCTTGAAAGAAGAGGATTTGCATCAAATGTGAGGTGAGCCTGGTGGTTCATGCACATGATATCAAAGCAGAATAAAGACTTCAGCAGGTTTTTTAAAAAACAGACTCAATTTAGTTTCTAGGAAGCTGAACAAACAAAATACATGTATTTGAGGAACTGTTAATTAGAGAGAGAGAGAGAGAGAGAGAAAGAGAGAGAGAGAGAGAGAGAGCGCAGAGCTTGCCATTCTAATAGTTCTAAAGTGTGAGGGGTAAAGAATGAAAGAAAACACCCTGTTCTAAGTCAAGAAACCTACCCTTGCTCTGACATGAATTTACTGTGTGACTTTGGAGAAGTCATTTTAACAAACAGACTCAAATGGTCTCTTCCAGTTCAAATTTCTAAGAAGCTGTAATTATGAAGAAGGTAAGTACTGGTGTTGGGGACCATCCAGAAATCAAAGAGCCAATCTCTGAAGAATTTCAAAGATTATTTGATCTCTACAGTCATTCCATTCTCAGCCACATTTAGAACTATTCTATAGGAGGCCATGCCAGTCAGCTAACAAGTAGCCATTCTCCTTTCTCCTTTCCAACAATAATCTGCTTTCATTCTAGTATCTACCCTCCTTCACACAGACATAAATTTTAGAGGACCCTGGGTCAAACCCCAGCCAAGAGATGATCCTGACTGTCCTAAGGAAATCCAATTCCTGTCACCAGTGATCAGTTTTGAAATAAGTATAATGCGATTGTGGCCAATGAAATGTGAGGAGATCGCTGCAGGGGTTGAGCAGGTGCTCCTGGGAAAGGTATATTCATCTTAAGAGAACAAAAAGAAAAGATGGTTGCTTTTCTTCACAGCACATTATCATGATAGGCTAAATCTTCTCAAGCTGTGGTAGCCATTCTTTATCCAGGAGTGCGTAAGATAGCCTTAGGGCGTGAAGCTCAGAAAGACTCAGGAGAAACAGTTTAAGCCTAGAGTGAGCCATTCCTTTGAACTTTCTTTTATATGCGATAATAAATTCCTTTCTTATTTAAACCCAGTAAAATCAGGAAATTTTGTTACTTGTAACTGAAGGCACCCTACTGACACATATTTGAGTTGGTGTCCTAAATAATTTCCTAACACTTTCCTTACAAAACATCTAAAATCTGTGTTATTTAGGAAACCTAGATTGAAAACAACCAAATGCTATAAGAATCCAAGTCCAATTTAAGCTCAGTTTCAATCTCATAATTTACGCCAGCTATTTATTTTTCCTGGATGCTATTCTCCATTTGATTGCTTTATTTTATATATCTTGAAATAAGTGTGGAAACAAAGCTATAAGATTCCAGATATTTCCTAAAGAGCATTTTTAATATAATAAATTACATGTGTATTTTTCATCTATAGACCATTTGACAAATTACAATCAACAGTTGATAATTTTAAAGTTACCTTGACAATTAAATTTACAATTTGGCATATAATTGCTGGGATATGCTAATAAACAGTGTCTAACACTAACTGAGAAATTTAATTTCTTCATTTCTGGAATTATTATAAGATACCACAGCAAACAGAAAGTATACATTTGTATCTCAGTGCCATTACAATATTTCAGGTAAAAATAAAGATATCAATTTCACATACTCTATAGTTAAAGTTTCCATAAAAATGAAATTTTAAATCTTATCTAATAAAATAGTAATATGCAGATTGACTGTCACTCCAATACACAAGCTGGCTGCCCCATGTGGTCAAAGATAGCTGCTCCCCTGTGGACACAAGATGGCCACCACAAGATGACCAGCAGGGAAGGGTAGTTGGGAGGGACCAGGCCTGCAAGGGGAAGTAGTGGGGGTGATCAGGCCTGCAAGGGAGGGCAGTTGGGGGTGACCAGGCCTGCAGGGGAGGGCAGTTAGAGGCAATCAGGCTGGCAGGGGAGCAGATAGGCATCAATCAGGCTGATAGGGGAGTGATACACAGTGTACTCAGTACTCAATATTATTGAAATTACTCATTCAGTCTTTCTACAGGTGTTCTTTCCTTGGTTTCATATTACTAATAATAAGAAAAGTATTTGAAGCTATTAGATTTGATTATTATAACCTGGGTTACTACTATAGGAGATGTGTGCAATTCTATGCTTACAATAAATTGTCCTATGTTCTTTGAATCAGCACTTGGAAACATGTTTTATCTCCTTTGTAGACCTCACTCTGGCAGGTAGAGCTAGTACCATATTCAATTTACCAATTCCCACAATATTTCCACAGTGCCAGTTCTAGAGTAGGCCACTGAAGGAGATTCATACATCAACCAAATGCATAATTAATGCTTCCATATTCTATTCAGAAATACACTTTTAAGCAGCAAAGTGCCAACAATCCCTTATGAATATGGACAAGTAGGCTAATTAATATTTGAATATTTACCATGACACAATAATATCTGATGTTTGTCAATATCTATACTATTGGATCTCATAACAAACCCAGAGTAGAGATGTGATCCTGCCCCAGGAATAGATCTTCTGCATCCTAATCTATTCCAAGACAGATACTCAAAGTCTAACTCCATGTATCATACTTCATCTACACAAATAAAAGAGATATATGCAAATTGACCACACCATCACAACGCCCACCAGCCAATCAGGAGTGGGTATAAAATTAACCCAAGAAAGATGACTTAATTTGCATACACAGGCTCTGAGTGGCTGGGAGCGGAATGCTTGCATCATCACTGTGGTGATGATGCAGGTGTTCTGTAGCGCCCAGCCTCTCTGGGCCTCTGGGCAGTGTGAGAAGGTGGAAAGGCAGCTCTGGGCCAGAGCTAAGGCAAAAAAAGGGCTCCGGCCGGAGGGAAACAGTGCCAGCAGCCAGGGGGAGGAAGGCCCATTCTTGTGTAAATCTTGTACATCGGGTCTCTAGTCCTTAAAATAAAAGTATACTCAAAACTTGCTTTAAAATTGCTCCTAAGACAAGGATAAGGAATGAAACTAGTGCACTGAAAACTGGTCACATTTTAACTACATTTGTAAAATAATGTTTAAATAAGTTGCCAACATGTAAAACTTTGAATTTTCATACTAAGTCTCACATTTCTGACTTTTTTTTTAATTCAGATCATCTTCCAGCTGGCCAGTCATTAGCTTTAAGCAATCAGCAGCCTCCCACCTTGGCTCGGTGTGCTCAAGATTATCACTGACTCCATTTGGCTTCTCGTCCATTTCTACTACCCACATTTACAACCCCATGATCTAAAGGATGGTCATTATCTCTTTAGTAAATATCTCAGAGTGGTTTACTGAGATATTTAGTTGTCTCAGACAATGGGTGTTCATTCATTTCTCTAACTTTCTTAAGGCTATGTACGTCCAAGAACATGGTTATTAAGGCACACTATTTCCCTTCTGTGTTTGATCCTGCTAATTGAGAAACTGATAAAGCCTCTTTTTTTTCTCCCAGCACCACTCAAACCACCATTTCTATTTCTCTGCTCTTCCTGTCAGGCTTGTAAGCGTAATCTATTAGTGATAACGAGTCTGTCTACATAGAAAGGCCTGGGAGATAGGGGAGCCAGTGCTTATATTTAGCATTCTACTCCAGTAAAGTCAATGAGAAGAGGAAAAAGTCTTTGAACAATCAAGACACAGCTGACTGTGGCTGTTTAATTGCCTGGGAGACACAAGAGACAAGGTCAACCAGACTCCTATCCATGAGAAATGACTGCAGTGAAAAAAGGTCACTCCAGGAATGGGCTGCCTCAGAGAAAGAGAGAGCCAAAGTTCTAGCAAACAGACTTTTAGTATTCTCCCTTGATCCTGGGGAAGCCCCACTGAGCAAAGGGTGACTTGAGGACACAGATAGTGATTTTGTCTTCCAGTCTTTGAATTAGTTACCTCAGACAACCAACTGTCTAGGACACTTCAGCCACAAAGTGGATGAAATGAGCATTGCCTATTACATTGATCCTGGGTGCTTTCTTGCAGGAGGAGTTATTGTAATACAGAGAGAAATCGCTCATGGTTTAAACATGAACTCGCATGAATTTACTTCACTGGAGTAAATTCACTATCCTGTGACTGGACTCCTGAACCTGGACTTGGCTAAGCTTTATCATGTCACTGCTTGCCCCTTCGTGCTGCTCTGTTCTCTGCCTGGAGACCTTTTTTTTATCAGCCTATGGAAAACAGACAGCACTTTCTATTCCCTTTCCTATGCTCAAGTTTCATCATTGCCCTTTATCAACATTTTAGGTTATGTATTTGGAAATTGCTTTTTTCTCCACACCATAATATAAGCTCCAGGAGAGCAGTCTTTGGTGTTGGTTTACATACACTTTTTGGTATATTACTTTCTTTTTTAAATATATTTTATTGATATTTTACAGAGAGGAGGAAGGGAGAGAGATAGAGAGCTAGAAACATCGATGAGAGAGAAACATCGACCAGCTGCCTCTTGCACACCCCCTACCGGGGAAATGCCCGCAACCAAGGTACATGCTCTTGACTAGAATCAAACCTGGGGCCCTTCAGTCCTCAGATTGATGCTCTATCATTGAGCCAAACTGGTTTTGGTGGTATATTACTTTCTTT